TTCTGAGTCGAATTACTGGGCTCACGCGTCTTGAAAAAATCCATATTACAGATATTCAACAGACCATTGATGCCCAGCTTCTGCTTCTCCACATTGAAAGGTAACAGATTCAGAAGTGCACCGAATATTTGGGAGCGTATTACGAACGCTTTCAAAAAGGATGGTGAAATAGTTACTACTTGTCCAACCGACCGAACGAATATACTAAGGACGTCAACAATGACCTGGCATGACTGACTGACTGACTGGCTGGCTGGCTGGCTGGCTGACCGACTGACCGACTGACTGATAGCAGCCACCATAAAAAAGTAACATCAAATGATTTTCTGCGTATGCTGCTTTTCATTGTCTTCTGCGGCAGTTGTTAGTTTTCCAGAATTGCTATTCAATTTTGGAGATAAATAGCTTTTCCTAGTACCTTTGCTTCGCGGGATTAGCCGGTCCTCTATTGCCTAAATTTGAAATTGCAACGTCAGTTAGCTTTCTGCGCTAACTTTAATGATCCGCAGGGCTGATTGGCACATTGTCTTCTGACCCATTAATGCTTTTATATCATGCAGCCATCCCTTTGAAGCATCGTCTTTTTGAATGACATTCTACTGTGAAGCCTGAATTACACGCGAATTACGATTGAAAGCAGTGACTGTTGGGTACACTTTTCAAATGAACCGTTCTGCTTGAGGTTGAAATGCTTTATTTGTTAAATCGTCAAATAGCTCCTGAAAAACAGAATCTGCAATGCTGTGATTATTTTTATTTACGTATTCGCGGCCCCGTTGTTAATAGACTTTTATTTCTACCCTTCAGCCACTCTGGCCTGAGTATCATTGCCGCGGTCAGTCTACTACGCTCCAGCCAACTGCCCATGAAGTGTCAGATATTCACATGTTCTCGTCAAGGTGTGATTCATGGCCGATTTTATTCATTCCGGAACTTGTTGTATAGGTTAAGCTTTCTTACTAGTTTTCGAACACTATGAGGAACAGGCAAATCCTTTAACATTATCAAAAAGGAACTAGCATATCACAGATATGATGCACACAGAAATGGTACAAACTAGTCTAGAGAAAAAGGAACGAAAGGTCCTCAACTTCTAAGAAAAGAGTTTTAAAACATTAATATGATTAGAAATGAACTAAGTAGATACTGCGCTTGGCGAATTTTATACGAAATGACTGAGATATGTCCTGAAAGAAACTATTTAGTCTAAAAAATTAAGGAAGATATCAAATTCGCAATATGTATGCTTATTGTTGGCGATATATTTGTTCACGGTGAGACTTTTGATTACTTCTTCGACAACAATCGACTAATATTTCCTAACGTACGAGATCACCATTTCCTAGTCTCGATGCCCCACGCGTCTCTCCTGTGCAGTTTATCACCATAATCTTCCGTAACTGTTTTTAGCTCATTATCCCATGTGAGTCGAGTTCTTGAAATTGGTCATTTGCAGCCTCTTGGGTACCTATTACTACTGAAGTCCATCGGTGATCCGCTAATTATGCGATATTATCCGCTGTTGTACGACTTGAGTTACACGCGGGGAATCATGATTATTTTAAGTTTGTGCTTTAAATTTATTTCGATCTTGACAAATGATTTTGTCCAGGCATCTTGGACTGAAAGTCCGTTTGCCCTTCATCCAGGCCGAATGGGGTTGCAATGACAAGTACTTTATGCTTCACTCGCTCCGCCATTTCCTCGGGGAGTCTAGGAATAGCAGCATGTGCTCCAGTGGGAGTTTCTTCCCTGACACGGAGCGATTCCACGTTTCGTAGCTGAGAGTATTCCTAAGCGTTTATTATTCATCTTACATATGGGTTCATTATAGTACAAGTCAACATATAAACTGAATGTTAATTTTTTAATTGCAAAGGTCGTTTTTTTTAGATCGTGAGATAACAACTGCTAAAGGTTTACATATTTTCAAAGTGTCATTGATAATGTTCGCAAAAGGGGAAATTCTTAGCAAAGTCGCAAAGGTCAGATCAGGGGGGAAATCGGTCAAGTACATTCAAACGGCATTGTCATTCTTTTTATCTATTTCACTTGATCTGCCCGTTTGCTGAAGAACCAGCTAAAAATTTTCCAAGGTCTGTGCCTTTAGAATCCAAAAGTATCGGAAGACAGTGAAATTGAATAACTGATCAGTATTTGAATAAATGAAATGATTATTGTTACTGACGTTTCTCTATAGTGTGATATATTTGTTTGAAGATGAACCTCATGATCACTTAAATTAATAAAGCATATTTTATTGTCCTTGTTTCACTGATTTTCCTGATAAATATATGTAGAAATTGTTAGCCAAACTTCATGTTTGCCATGATGCGCATATCATTTATTAATAAGATCGAGAATCGAACTAATCTGAGTTTCGTTGCATATTAACCACTTCCGTACATGGTACGTGTTTGATAAGTCATTTTAACATATCGTACTCAGTGACATTGTATAATATAGTGACATAGCCAAGAGGACCTCTATAAGAATTCAGTCCATGAAGCATTTTCAGTCATGTCGGCAAAGCGTGATATTTTCGTTCTGATATACTGATATATCTTCTTTACTGTGACGTCATTAGTCGTTGATTTTCAATAAAGTTTTCTTTCATTCTTTAAACCGCATCTGATTTTAAGGACGAAAAAGATAAAAAGAAGGACAAAAAGGAGGCTGATAGCAACAAAAATGATGTCGGTCTTCAACAGGCGATCGCCACGTTGGGTATCGCTTTGATATCCAGCGGCGAAGAAATCGGCTCCAGTATGAGTTTCCGATTGTTTGGGCATTTGGTAAGGTAAGGTACGACTTGTTTGCTCATTAAGTTGTCATTTTGAGATACGTTATGGTGAACCGTGTGTGCGACGAGCAGTTCCTCTCGCCCTCGCACTGATTTCGACCAGCAATCCTCAGCTGAATATTCTTGAAATGCTCAGCAAATTTTCGCACGACGCTGATCCAGAAACGGCTTACTGCTCGATATTCGCTCTTGGCCTGATAGGCGCAGGTACAGTGATTTTCTCTTTTACTTTTGGCCTAAAATTTTTATGGTCCAGAATTTAGCTTAGTTTCAACTAGCAACAAATATTCTTCATTAATTACGACAGATTGAGAGTTGTGTATAACTTTCTTCCTCAGTTCCCGGTATATTACGCTGAAACTTTTGCTTCATACGTTTAAAAGATACTTTACCAAAAATAGAGGTTCTCTGTACGACTGCTGATCTGCTACGTTTTCTTATGCAAAACCTTGCCTTAGCGACATTCTTCCATTTGGCAGTTAATCACTTGGCGGAAACCCTATCGCTGCTTGAGCAATAGGTTCCTTTTTCTGATGAAGTCGAAATTGTTTATTATTACCTGGGCGATAGATGGTGATGAGGAAGTTATTTAAAACGTTTGTTTGAAACATATTTTCAGTCAGTGATGTGGAATAGATCTTATTCTTGTATCAAAGGAAAGTTTTTCGTTATTTGCCGTCTCTCTCTTCGTGTAATTTCATTTGTCCTTGTTTTATGCTGTTCTGCATTCAGGAACGAATAACGCTCGTCTTGGAGCAATGCTGCGTCAGCTCGCGGCGTTCCATCAACGGGATTTGCTCTCCTTGATGTTGGTTCGAATATCACAAGGTCTTGTGCATTTGGGCAAAGGAACGATGACTCTTAATGCGTTCCACAGCGATCGCCAGTTGATGTCTCCTTCGGCAGTCGCCGGGCTTTTCGCCACCTGCTTCGCTTTCCTCGATTGCAAGAACAGTAAGAGTGTTTGGCATTTGTTGTGCAAGTTAATTTATTATGTGGCGATACTTTAGCGATTCTCGCCAGGCAGCACTATCTTCTGTACTGTTTGGTGCCCGCAATTCAGCCGCGGATGTTGATCACCTTCATTGCAACTGACGACGACATGCACCAACTAAAGCAGGTTAACGCCACAGTCCGCGTTGGTCAGGTGATTACTTCTAGCATTTGCTATTTGGCTTACCTTGTCCTAATTCCAAGCTGTAGGCCGTTGACGTTGTTGGTCAGGCGGGTAAGCCAAAGTCAATTACTGGCTTTCAGACATACACAACTCCCGTGTTGCTGGCATACGGTGAACGAGCTGAACTTGCTACGGAGGAATGTAAGTGAAACCGGCGAAATTTTCATATCGTGATTTTGGTTTATCACGGTCGGTTTGTTGAAGCAGTGTGATCTTATTATTCTGGCATCGTCGAATCTTTTCTTTTTAAGTCTTTATCGTTTTCATTTTACTCTGATCATTATTCTTTTCGTCCTCTATTCCTTTTTTTTATCAGCTCATTCCTGATATCACTTTTATCTGAGAACTTCCAGTGCAAATCTGTACAGGCAAGGCTAATCCTTTGAAAGTCACAGTGAATCCGTTTATGCGTTTCTATTTTTAATCTAGACATGGAACGAAGTCATCGTTGTTTCTTTCTTAACAACGATCACTTACCGCAATTTATGCGCTAAATTTTTACCGCTATCTTTTGTTCCTATTCCTTTAGGTTGAATCTCATTATTTTTGCACCCTTATTGTACTGGCAGTTCCCCTTTCACGCAATTGATTCTGAAGATTTACCTCTTAGATTTATATCAACCATATACTGCCATTTTTGGAAAGGAGAGTGATTAGCAGAGTGCGAAAAAAATAAATCATATTCTGACTGAACATTTGGGTGGTAAAGTTGACAGTAAATGTTTTTGGTGTAAATTTGCTAAACTTTTTCCTGAAGTCAATTGCATTCCGTCAATTTTATCCATATTTTTTCATATTTGCTCCCGGGTCGATTTGATTTCCTCATTTTCTAACAGCATTTCCTGAAATGAGCAACCCTTTACATTTTTACCAAATCTGCTTTCCAAGCGTAATAACAGATTTAACGCCAGTTTCTCACAGGTTCAAGAATGACTTGAAATTTTTGTTTCTGAACAGTTTAGCCTTGTGACTGTTTCATGGTCAGCTTTGATTTTTCCTTGTTACTGTATTAATCATAGGTTGCTTTCAGACGTATCAGTGTCTCCCGTGATGGAAGGATGCGTGATTCTCCGGAGCAACCCTGACTATGAAATGAAATAATTGCTGTTCTTTTTGTTTCAACTGTGATTCTATTGTTGCAGAATTTTGTAAAATTTGACATTTTAGATTTACGAGAATCTTTGTTACGTGCTAAGCTGTTTTGCGGCGTCGTTCATTTACTAATTCGCTGGCATAGAATGGGACACTTCATTTAACGAGACGTCAGTAACATGGTCACTCACTGTCTTTCTACACCTATGGGTTGGAGTACTGTCATTTTGAAACTGGTGGCCACACGAATTCTATAACTGTGCTAGCCAGTTCTGCAGTAGTTCATAAAAATTTACGGCTGCTGGAAAGAATTGGATCTCTGCCCTAACTTGAGTTTTAAGATGCTGATTACTCGCTTCCAAGGGTATCACGGTAGGACACTTTTTGGCCAGTCATTGTCTAGAATTTAATTGTTGTTTATGAATATCATAGTCTTAAGCGGGAATGGAAAATTTGCTCTGATTCGTTAATACAACAGACAGAATTATCTTCATTCGTCAGCTGCATCATTCAGAGTTGTTTTGCATCGTCATTGTACAAGGCGGAATAGCGCTATATCGGTTTTCAGCATAGTTGCGCGAGGTTGTTTTCGATGAAGGCGGGAGACAAGCAACATCTATAAGAGTAAGGAAATTTGTTCTCTGTTGTTTCCTCAATACCGATACTTTTCTTTACGAAGATGCTGTAATCGGCATAAAAACAAGTACTGAAGAATGTGGCAAGTTTGGTCTTGAATCAGCGGTGTGAATTTGTTCTACCTTATTTGGAAGATTCTTGTATTTATGTTTCAATAGCCCCAAACACTATTTCAGGTATTAAACGACGTTAAATGTTTATCGGTAGCTTTTGTGCAGATGCTTTATTTAGGGAACACCCTGAATCTTAAACGTGTTCAGGTCGCCTGTCAAAGTTCTGTTAACTGTATACTACATGATAGACAGCGATCCATGATGATCACACAAAACTGGAAATTGGTTTGATCTTAGTCTGTCGAGCACGAATTAATCGCATTCGTTATTTCGCTGACACAAGAGTTTTATTTTGAATGAATGCAGAGGTTTTAATGCAAAAGGGAGAAATGATTATTATACTACAGTGTTAATAATGACGAAACTATTTTTTATTGGAATGAGCCATTCCAAACAACATATAATGCATAGACTTGCCAACCAAGCATTATCATTTTCGAATTTTAATCGGCGATATAAAAACGACTGCTAGCACATTTGAAGTTTGTTAGCTGACGTAATGAATAAAAATGAGTTCAGCGTTATTACATTGCTCATTCTGCGTTAGAGCTACTGACTACGTCGTGGGGTTCTAAAAGAACTACAGTACAAGTTGAATTCAGGAAGTGTAATGCAGTCGATCGCTTGGCTATTTTTTGCACTTTTACAGCATTGATATGTGCATTATTCTTGTTCCAAAGGAATTATTTGAACATACTCCACATTTTTTCAGTTTAAGAGAATATGCTCATAAACTTAAAACCATCGTTTTCTGTCAAAATGTTAAAGTAGCTCATGGCAATTGATACCGTAAGGACCGTGGTTAATATTATCTGAGAGTGGCATTCGTTTCTCATCGGTCTCGCACTTTTTTATTGTTAATTGCAGATACGTCTGAGCTATGAATCAATTTTTCTAGACTTTACTTGAGCAGCATTTCTATGCAGCAACAGGTAGTTTCCATTGATAAACTGAATTTCGTCCTTTTAACTACGTGCAAAAAATAGTCAAGTTCAATCTTAAATACACATTCGTAATGATGGATATCCAAAAAATTCATTATATAGCAAATGGCAATTAACCAACCATACGTCTTGTGTAATTGCAGGTTCTGCGTTTCAAGCGGTTTTTAACTTGTAAATATTTAATTATTGGTTGATGAACGATTGAAACTTCACATACCGATGTAAGCTGAAATAATATAAAACGATTTATTCATAGCCATTGCAAGAGAAATGTGCAATCAGGTGCTGAACTAGTTCATGCATTTCATCCGTGTTTCACTGAAGTTCTTTAGCGTGGATATCAATGACTTCCACTGCTCGTTCCTTTAAACATTCGAAGCCAAAGGTTGTTTTCTTTCACTGCGAAAGCACACGTTTCCACTGAAGAAAGCAACATTCTGCGAATCCGGCACAACAGTTCATGGATGTGTATGTGAATTTTTTTGATCGAGGACCAGTTGCTTGCAGCTATTCACTCATTCTATTTTAATCGTAAGTAATGCGTCAGAGAATATTATGCATTAGGTGGAGGCCTCAAAGCATTCGGATTAGAATGTATCAAGGTTAAGTCGCATCCTCCTTCCTGTCTTTCTTGTGCTTGGATAGATATGTAATGCGAAGCCTTTGCGACGCATTGATCCGCGTGGGACTTTTTTGGACGATAAGGTTGTTGTTTAACGGGGCATTGTTTCGATGGTACACTCTGAAGCAAATCTTTCGTTTTGTCTCGAAGCGAGTATATCGAAGTGAAATGCAACTGAAATTTGTGAAAGCATGTCTAAAGCGAAAGGTCCATGATTTCTCGTTCTGTTGTGCATGAGAAAAACGGGATATTACTAGATCTGGTGCATAAGTTCACTTGCCTCTTGATAGTGTTTACTAGCAATTGAAGATGAAAAAGAATGAGATTATCCAGTGATGTACTGTTTGAAAGCCGAAAGCGCTGTGACAGAGGTAAAACTGAGTCCCATAAACGATGGTCAGCAACGATTATGAATACTAAGCTAACCCTGAAATTCCGTAATCCCGGCTGAAAGTGGCTTAGAAACGACTTTTGGAAAAAAATCATTAGGCTGAAAAAAGCTTACATGAAAGGCTGTATTGACAAGTCCCACCTACGTTGGCTAGAGCAAAATTTGTAAGTGCTTCCCAAATGGAAGCCAAAACAACTACCGCTAGCGCACAAGGTTAGCCGACTCCAGCGGAAACGGCGAGGAACAGTCAGGGGTTTGCTTGTGTATGGATTCTGCTACAACTTATGGCTATTTTCTGCCGAAGTTAAAATTCCGGCGCCGAATAGGTAACGTTGGAGGACTGTCTGACGCATCTAACTAATATATTTCATACTGTAAGCGGTCATCGAAACTGAATGAATAACAAACTTTTATTTTTTTTTGAACATGTTCCAATGCACCGCATGTTTGTTCATTGCACCCATTTTGATATAGATATTTTGAAGCAAATTTGCTAGGAAACTAGCCGTCTGCATTTGTTTTTACGTGTATACACTTAGCTCTAGTCGCTGCTCAAAACACCTTCAGACAATGATCCATGTTCGCACATGTTAAGTCTTTGCTGCGCCCCTTTAGGCGGAATAGAAAACGTGTTGATGTTTAAATCAACCTTTGCTGAATAATTAATCGCGAGCTTGGCGTTATGACTACATTTTTAAACTTTGACAAACTGTGCCATCGATGCACGATTTAATACGTTAGTTTATGCTATGCTTTCGTTAAGCTCTGTCTCGAGGCGCACCTATCATCATCAGAAATGTAAAGGTGCGATAAGGAATGACTGGATACGCAGCGGAAGAATCGGCGATTATTAATATTCAATGCAATATCAAATCAGGAAATTCTTCCGCTCACCTTCTGAATTAATTGAGTTCATCAACATTGCACTTGTTTCAAAGGCAGCTAATTGATAAATAAACTAGTTTTAGATACCGAAACCTTAAATTTCTGAAAATGTTAACCTTAGGTTTCTCTGCTTAATCATATTTATGATTTTAAGTTAGATCTGCCTGAAATAGTGACATGAGTATTCATCCTTCCGCTTTATCCTGAAAATTACTGCATTCAATTGACTGCACTTTGCTTAGAAATGATGTTGCGCAATCCGTTGTCAAACTTGGTAGTTTGATTTCTCTAGATCTAAATCGCGCTTCATTGTGACATTGTTTTCTAATTTTGATAGCGGTTGGTGCATGCCAAATAGTAATGAAGGCAAATATTAAAAAAAATTGCACGTAATTTATTTGCTTTGAGTATTTTAGTACAGCTGTCATTGTTTTTGTAGCTTTGTTTTCACTGTATCTTCGCATTGCA